AGGCGGAATAAACCGTAGTATTACAAACTGACAAATGTGTCCAATATCACCACATTTAAAGCATTTAGAATTACGAAATACACATGAATCAAGTGTGTGAAACCGGCCACAAGACAAACATTGACCAAAATTGTGCCCATCTTCGTGAACTGCATCTCAAATCAATGATTTATGTACTTAATCTTGAGTACGCACTGGGTTGGGATGACGTAGTAATGCAGTTGAATTTTTGATGTTCTGATCAATAATTTTACGAAATTTTCCTCCTTTACCTCACTTGAAATTTGTATGCTTCTTTTTCGATGAATGTGAAGAAATATGTTATAATATTAATATCGTCAACGTCTTTCTTGGTCATAACCCAGATTTCGAACCTTCCCAAGTAATTCTCAAAAGCATCAAAATCTGAACGTATTGATGATGTCACAGGTATTCAGTGTTTGACAACGCTTCTACCAGTAACACCTAATATATTTCGTTCCCACCCAGAGAAATCAAAAGACAGAGTCCAGGAGATCGGAAGAGTGTATTTGGCGATAACCAATATATCGGAATTCTCTGATCTAATCTGGCTAGCGATTACGGTTGATGTTGAGCACGGCGTTACCACACGTGATCTGGTGCGGATGTCTGACCGAGCGCCTTCAGCTAGATGAGTCCACTAAAACATATGGTCAGCATCCAATGTCGAAAACTTACAGAGCTATTTATTTTGGGGATTTATTTACCGCTACAGATCATTCCCCCCTAGTGGGGCAGTGACGACCCTAAGACGTGGCCAGCCAGAAGTTTAAACCCAACGAGTTTGTCGTTGGTAAACACTCTTCTGATAGCTTACTAAGTGTAGCAGCGTCTGGTCGTCTTTCCTTACTATATGGGACCGAGGTACAACATAGTTACAACGAAAATTTCGACTCCTCGTAAACTGCATCGTTCTTTTCCAGCCGTCCTGGAAAAGAAAAAAGAAAGTGTAGGTGCATGTCGAAATACACTCGTATGTGCGTAATTGCTTGACGGTGGTCGGTTCTGGTTAATCCAGAATGGCCGCCACTTTGGTTCTAAGGGGTCGGATACCTTGAGCATCGATAGTGTGTCCCAGAAAGTCTAATGAGTCGGTTCCAATTTGGCATTTCTGAACGTTTACAGTAATGCCATGTTTTTGTAATCGTTCGAAAACAAGATCCAGATGCTTGAGATGTGTTTCTATGTCCGGACTTGCGATTAGACAGTCATCAACATACGCGTGTACAAAATTGAGACCTCGAAAAACGTCGTCTATGAATCTTTGGATCGTTTGAGCAGCATTTCTTAGACCGAAAAGCATTCGCAAAAATTCATAGAGTCCGAAAGGAGTTATGATAGCTGTTTTCGGTATGTCGTCAGTAGCCATAGGGATTTGGTTATACGCTTTAACCAAGTCGATTTTCGAAAAGACAGTTGTACCTTTCAAGGTAGCTGTCAAATCGTGAATGTGAGGCAACGGGTAACGATCGGGAATGGTTTTCGCGTTCAATCGCCGATAGTCACCAGTTGGACGCCAATCTTTGCTGTCCTTTTTAGGGACCATGTGCAACGGAGATGCATATGGGCTACTTGACGGTCGTATGATTCCTAAGTCTATCATATGGTCGAACTCGTTTTTCGCTAACCTTAGCTTTTCAGGAGCTAGTCGCCGTGCTTTAGAAAATACAGGTGGTCCTGTAGTCGTGATGTGATGTGTAACACTGCTGGTTACACACGGTAGTTTCGGTTGAGTTTGCTGTATCCCAGGGTGCTTATCAAGTAGTGGCTGGTAGAGTGGGTCTATCGTATGTTTAATTGTGACTGGGGATAATTTGCAACCAGTAAAAGAAGTTACGCAAACGGATAAATTAGTGTTTCCGTTTACTAGCCTCCGTTTGCGCGTATCGATGGTCAGATTGTGATGTTGTAGAAGGTCCATACCAATGATTGGCATAGAAACATCTGCAACAACGAAAATCCAGTGAATGGGTTTGCGTAAACCCACGTTAAGGTAAACGTACCTTTTGCCATACGTAGCGATCGGTTTTCCGTTTGCCGCCTGTAAGTTTAGGGTCGATTCGTGAAGTCGGTCGTTAGGATTTGCTGGGAGAACGCTAACTTCTGCGCCAGTGTCGACGAGGTAGCGAACTGTCGTTGTCACATCTGTGACGTATAACAGACGGCTATGTTCGCCGTCTACGGTTGCCGTTAACGCGTGCCGGCTTGGAAGTAGACGCATCGGACTCGGCAATCGGTGGCGTCTTACAACAATGGGTTAACAACTCCTGGCAACCCTTGGCATTTTTCTCTAGAAGGTTGCTAGACACCGAATCAAGGTACAGCACATTCTGTAGGGAACTCCTAGCTATGTATTGTGCTGTACGACATTTCCAACACTACATCGAAGGCCGTGAATTCACTCTTTTCACGGACCATAAACCGCTCACTTTCTCGTTAAGCTCTCCTTCAGACAAGTACTTTTCCCGTGAGTCTTGACAACTGGACTACATTTCCCAGTTTACTTCAGACATTCAACACATCTCTGGAGCAAACAATGTAGTTGCAGACGCCTTATCTCGCATAACTTCCTTGAACAGTTTCCAAGGAATCAACCTTCTTAAACTCGCCGAGCTTCAAAAAGAAGACACTGATCTTCAGCACGAGTTATCATCTACAACCCTTAAACTACGCATCAAACAGATGGGAACAGGTAAGGAAACCTTACTTTGTGACACATCTACAGGTAGGGATCGCCCAATCGTTCCGAAACATTATCGACGCAATGTCTTCAATACATTGCACAAACTTTCTCATCCAGGTGTCCGTGCAACCATCAAGCTTATAGCAGAACGGTTTTGCTGGCCTGGCATGAATAAAGACGTGAGGGAGTGGGCACGCTCCTGTGTAAGCTGCCAAAGATCTAAGGTTATCAGACACAATAAATGTCCTTTAGGCTCATTTAAAACTCCCGATGCTCGTTTCGACTATGTTCATTTGGACTTGGTAGGACCTTTACCAGATTCAAATGGATACTCTTACCTCTTAACCTGCGTAGACCGTTTCACTAGATGGCCAGAAGCAGTACCTATCAAGGACATCACTGCTGAAACAGTGGCTCGCGCCTTCGTCGAGCGATGGGTAGCAAACTTCCGTTGCCCTTCAACCATCAATACAGTATGTTTAACCGTTCCATCACATGCTCCATTGCTCCAATGCAATAGTTAGGAGTATTTGAATTATAGTACAAACTAGGAATCCCAGCAATAACGCTATTGGATTACGAGGTACTAGATAAGCGCAAACGAATGTGCTGTACTTGGAATTCGAAATCAAGCATTCAACAAGTACAAAGGAATCATTAGTTCATATAGACACCACACTGCCAGGCAATTGATTCGTTCCCAATTCTTGTAGCACAGATCGCTGTAACTAGTAGCATTCTCTCATGCAATACTGATTTGACAGCGTCAACATGTTTTGGTCTCTTGAGTTTAACATATTCGGAACCACAGGCGTCTTGTTTATAAACATTTATATTTAGCCATCTACTATTTACTTTTGGGTGACGTATAAGAGTTCTCCCTACCTTTTAATGGCCGCAATATTTCTTAATGCCCCAAGACGTTCTCAAATAATTTTCACTAACTAGGCAGTGCTTACATGGCTTCCAGAATTATGTCGATTTAGAAGCTTCTATGCCGTTGTGCAACTATGTCACTGACCCTGCCTTATGAACAGATCTTAGTAACCCAGACAGCACTTGACCATTGCATCTTTTTTACTTTACTAACAACACCAGTCTTGCCATAGGTTATTGTGACCCTCAGTACATATGTTTCTTATATTTATGTCCTTATAACTCTCCATCTATGCATTTCGTGCTTGGTTGTGTGTATCTGTATACCTATCGTTTTGTTCGACGTCCTTCATCTTGTCCCACTATGTATATCTATTTTGAATTATACCAAGGCTTGTTATACCATTCGCACAATCAGGGTGAATCGGTTTCGGATCTCAAAATTCCGAATAGATTAGGGGAAATTCCTTGCATTCCCTTTGATTTAGGGCTATTCTTCAAAATTTCACTAAACTCCGGGGAACTCTGTGAACTTCTATGTGACTTCGAGGAAACTCCCCAAACTTTCACGAAATTATTTGAAGTTTCCGACAAATCGGAGTTTTTTATACAGGTTAGTATACATGACCAGTTTTTAGTATCGATTGTACCAGTAAGTTATGGGTACTAATCAATATGACATTACAATAATACATGTGAGCGTTAATCAGAGGACTGATAGAATAGTAATTTAACATGTAAATAACCGACCGAAAAAGTTGGAGTTAAAATAAGGATCAATATAAGTTTGCGTTTCTTTAGTCGGGCTTACCAACGTAGAAATATGGTCTATTTCGTTATTAGTAATGCTCTAATAATAGACCTGCTCCTAAAATTGTAGATTTGTCATGATGTAACTGGCCAATCTATGACATCTTACATGGAAGTCAAATCGCTGTCTACGCTGGCTCATCGTGTTATAACAATCTCGAAAATATGAAGATTGATCTACTGGGATACTTCAGGATATGACTTTTTTGAATGCTTATGAAACCTCATCTATCCAGGGGGAAGAAAGAAAAACACAAAATAATGAAATCTAATTAATACATGGTACCGTTTTCAGTGATAAAGAGCATCCGGTTCCTCAAGATGTCTTTGTTTTCTCAGATTCGTCTGTATGTACTGCTAGTATGTTACTTAGCGCATCTGATAATAACGTCTGGTGACTGAAGCGTTGGTTTAAAGTGGTAACATACTTCAATTCTATCCCATTTGATTGTAAATAAACCCGTTAGTCATAATTGTTTGTTCTTTCTACTGTAAATTGTATGGCGCCTTACATTTTCGGCGGCTTGCTTAAGGTTGTTGGGTATTGGATGTTGTGTGGTTGTGAACTGTCCGAGTGTCAGTAACGCTTGATTGTATCCTGCTAATTAAAATGCCGGACAGCAATGTTGCTAACGGGGTTGTGTTGTCAGATAAACCAGACAAGTTTATTGATAAAATCGGTCAGTTAGTTTGCATCCATCTAGCTTGCTTTAGATCCTGAGGATCCAGAGTATCAGAAAAGTTTAATGCGCCCTGCTTGCATAAAAGAAGATGTAAATTTGATGATTCAACGACAGCGCGTGTCCGGCATACTGAAGTCGGATGCTTTTCGACGAGAACTGGAGGAGGTTATACGTTCTCAGTGTCCATCTGGTGACTATCCTGGTATGAGCACTAGTCTTCTGTCTCTGCAACACATATCAGATTTATTCAATTCTGCCCCTTCTGGTAAACCTCTTGGTGGGGGTGGGTTTGCAAGAGGCAGGTCAACGTTTTTTCTTGCGTGTATAAAATTCTCATAATATGCAATTCCAGCAATCCCGTGCATTCTCTGAGTTGGTCAAAATAGTGTCGCACATTGTTGACCGTTATTCTCGAAAAGCCATATGTGATATTCTTCCTTAGGGTTTAACCAATCTGTCCATATGATATTGGTCTTTTAAACTAACCTCCCAAATATCACTTCTCGAACTTAGTTTCACAGTGAATATATCCATTATCGAGCTGTTCAGTATGCCATCAGTGACTGTGGAATAAAAGTTTGAAATAACCAAAACTTTACTTTATATGACTATGTTAAATGTCGTCTCTTTAAGGTCAGCAAGAGCATTTTATTTCTCGATGAGCGAATTGCTGGTTATAAGCTTTTTGAGTCCTTATGAGTGAAAATTAGTCAGATTTAAGACATCGTAATGTTTTCAACGCGATTTGTCAGAATATTATCAGAAAAATTGCCTTTAAGTGAGAACTTTCAGTGTATAATTTGCTTTCTTAGTGAGTCGTTTATCATTTCAGGTTCTCAGATCAAATAGTATGTCTAGAGGTGGCGAGACTAATTTATGGACGAACCAATCAGGTATAAGACAACAGATCTCTGATTTTGGCACGAAATTCACTCATCCATTTGGATAAATTGAGTTTTGGCATTATAGCTAATGTCAGTTCGGAATGAAAACCCTAAATCTAATTCTTAATCTTAACCATCAACTGCAAGTTATAATTCTAATTCCTGAGACTGATTTATAACCCTCCTTTGGTCTTGGTTATTAGGCGGACACTCTGAAAGTCACTTCAGCGTTGCTCAACGGCCATCCATAAATTCTAGTCTCACCCTAGAGGTTACTTTCAATCACATACACCTTTTAGTAATGACGTCTTACCTCGTTAAATATTTGATGTCTTGGTACCAGAATTCTATCTCTGCTGCTGTCTTCGCTCACGAATTCTGATGATGTTTAAAAACCGATACATAAATCTTCATTGGTAAGCGTTTTCAATGCTGGCAACAGGCTTTGTGGATGATTTCGCTTGGAAAATAGATGAAAAGAGTAAAATCTGTGGAGTAAATACACTTGTAATACTTACTATCATAACTGGATAAACAAAGCACTTCAGTACCTACGAAAACGTATTTCCTAAATGCTTCTAGATGTAACTGTCTTGTATCTTTCTGCGTCACGTTTCTACCTTATTCTTCACAGGTTTTAGTATTTTTCAACCCTTTTTTCAATACTGTTAGACCTTACGACTCAAAATTTTTCGCGATTTCTTGAGTTTTGAAATCTGAACATCTAAAAGCATTCACTTATTGAAACACCTTAATCCCTGGTTTCAAAGTGCTTCTTATACTTCTACATACTGCATAAAATTTGGAATCGAAAAGAAACAAGTTAACATATTTCAGCGTAAAATTGCAGCAAACTTTAAATTTCCCGCTAGATTCCTGGTCGCTAAACTTTTAATTTCTAAGTTGACTAACTCCCCTCCGGTTTAGACCTTAAGCATGATCACTACATTTAATGGTTGCATACATTAAGGATCTGCTCAAATCTAAATGTATTTTAAACAGATTCAAACCTTCTACCTCACTGAAGTTCTCATGTTCACATAACAGTCCTGGGTTACACTAATCACGCTTCATCTATTCTATACTAGTATGATGATGATTACATCAATGCAGTCCGCACAAGATGCCAACCAAGACCGACCAAAATTCAGCCAAACATCAACAACAGGATGGTCCAATCCACTTTAACTATGTTTAGTTTCGCACTATGATCATTTACAATGTTCCACTTTTAATCTTAGTATTTTCTTTACGCTGTGTTGATGTGAGGTACTGCAAATTGTATAAACGAATAAAAGTCCGTTTTACATTCTCTCCAGATTTATGTGCAACACGATAAACAGACCTTAGTTTACTTTATTTGACTAAGTAATCCATCTTTTTTTTCTAAATTCAAAGGATTCCGTTGTTACTTAGTTACATGGTATGTGCTTACATTTTGCTTCCTTGAATATATTTAGTTTATAAATTACTCTTATTTTTCATGTAACTTAAATTTATGCAGGGCATCGTAATGGTGTTATTCCGATAAATGACTTGCGTGGTGGTGACGCGACTGTTTATTCTCGACGTGAACGTTCTCTCCGTTGCAAACTAGCATCGGTATATCGCTTAATAAATCTTTTCGGATGGAATTCGAGTATATACAATCATGTGACTGTAAGTAACTTTTATTCTTTCAGCTCCCAAACTTGGTAAATGGCCAATCAGCAACCGTCTAAAAGTAATCATTAGTATTATTAAGTACCTATTTCTGTTCACTTTCTCATGAACCAAACATTCCTTCGGAGCATAAATAGAGGTTCTAGGCACATTAACGTCTACCATATGTTCACACATTCTAAACCTATTCTCACTATAACTCATCGTAACTCTATATCTTTCAATAGTTTTGTCGTCGAAGTTGTTCAAACCGAATAACATTCGAAAATTTTACTTTTATCTATTTGCTTTATTTACTTAAGTAGGCTAGTCCTTTATTGAGATAAAATATAATAGTGATGTTCGCAGATCAAAAGACTTGGGGATCGATTTTAGTTAAATTGAAATGTAGGTGTTTAATGTAGACTACTGAAAAAAATAAAGCACAGTAATGTATCTTTAAAACTGATCCTTTATACTATTTCAAGTCATACCTAATAGCAGAAAATTGCACGACCTTTAAAACATCCGGAGCTGTTTTGCTACTCCACCACAAACTGATTAGTCCCCAACTCCTTCCAATGCTAGCGGTAATATATAACGTTAGGTATGTAGGTCTCTGTGATGTCATACGTCAAGGTGTTTCAAAACCACCTAGTTCAGTGTTCTTAAACGGTGTCTGAATAATAACCTTCGTTCTCAAAAAGACATTCTCATCAGTATTACTCACGCAATATTACTACCAAATGCAATATCGACGTAGTCAAACTTAAAGAGACTTAGAATACCTTCAGTATGAAGTGGCCAGGTTTGAAAGTGTAATATTAGACTAGATACAATAAGTGTTGTACCCCTGACTTTCTCTAGTCAGACTATTGGAAGAACGGGTCTAAAGGTAACACAGAAGTGTATAAAGTGCTTTTGCTTTGATACGTGAAGATTAATCTCATCTGTCGCACCACTTCCAGTACTCATAACAAGCCAGATACTATCGCCAACGGACTACTTTTATTTCTTTTCATAAAGTGTCAGCGGAGTCTAGTTTGCGAAATTTGAGGCTTAAATAATGATAATACTACTATCTTTTAAGCAACCGCAACTAAAAGTCTCTGAGTTACAAACTTATGCTTAAACATAGTTTTATTCATTGAATTCCTGAGTCCTACCATAGATGTGAATTATATTTTGCTGGATCTTTTGGGGAACATTTCTTATTGTTTCCCTTTTATTTATTTTAGGTGTGTGTTAGTCGCAATCATGAACATTATTTGGTTAATCCTTTCGGATTGCTTTATCATGAAATTACTGCTTCGTCTCTCATCAAGGTCGATTCCAAAGGTGAGCTACGGTAGTATGATTATAAACGTCACTTAACCTGAATTTTCTGGATGTTTCTATTCCGACTATACTCTAGGAACTTTCTCCTTTGATCACTGAATTCTAATGAATTTCTATTTAGTAAATATTGCTAGACGGTTTCTAACGATTTTTCATTAGATTGGTAAAATTCAAAGCACTGATCTTTTTGATTTTCCATTTGTTACCTTAAATGGTGTAACTAAACATTAAATAACTAAACGCTCATTATTATTTAACAAGAACTCAGCAAAATAAACTACCTATAAATTTATGTATCATTGATTTGTTCGGTTGTTTGAGAAAGCCGAAGTATGCTGGAAAATACCACAAATGAAAACTATGTACTTTTGAGTCTAGTAGCTCAATATCAAGCGAATAGAATTAGTCAGTTTTAAGCATTCTGACATGCATGATGATTCCTGCCACAAACCTGGTCAGTATGTACATGTTGTAGTTTGATTACTATTTGCTTTATTCTACTCAGTGTCGCTATTTGGGTAATGGAATGGTAGTGAGTTCACAATCATAACTTGGTTTTCTGAAATTTTGGATTATAATTACTGCTTTAGATAGACGTACATAATCCCTGTTGTTTTGAATTTTACGCACTAATGAGATTTTACGTTCAGTTTCCGGTAACCCAGACCTTGTCGATGTGATTGGGAGTAAGTCGTTTAAGAGACTGGTGATTTGAATGGATGTGATTGAAATGGAAAGTTTACTGGGAACTCGGGAGTTCATGGAATATATAGGTTATTAAACGATACAAAAATTTTCACGCAATGAAATTGTGCAAAGCTTGTGTAAGGACCGAGAAACCTTGCTATCGGAGCGTGCTAACGAGTTGGAAACAACAGCTTCTCCTAGTAACTGCCGGGAGCTCTTTCAACTTATCCAAATCACTAGAAGCAAAAAGTCTGGTGTGTAAAATAATCTGTGAAGCTGATGGGATGCCAGTTAATAACATCTACCGACGTCTTAGACAGTAAGCAGAGTTTTCTGAGGAGTAGTTCAACTGATTTACTGCCCCGGCGACCGACCAGTTTGTCATGCCCTCCATGGCCTGTGACGACTGATCCACTTAACGCGGCTAAAGTCCTCAAGGAACTCCAACTCCTGAAGCACTACAAATCACCAGGTCCATTTTACTTACCTCTGGCCCTTTTTAAATATGGTGGTGACTTTCTGGTTAAGGAACGGACTGAGTTGTTTACAAAAGTTTGGCAGTTAGTGGTACAACATCGTGGAATGAGCTCATAGTTGTTCCTATCTTTAAAGAAGGTTCGCGTCGTTTTTGCAACAACTATCTGGGGATAGGTCTACTTCCGATCGCGTCCAAATTATTGGCTTTCCTCATACTTCGTAGATTGTTCAAAACCTGGGAAAGAATGACTCGTGAGGAACAGGCTGGTTTTCGTTTTGGTCGAGGATGTATTGATCATATAGTCACCCCTCGACAAATGCTAGAACATCGCCATACTAATTCCAGGACAACAACTGTTGTGTTTCTTGACATTAGGGCCGCTGTCGATTTGTTGGCCAGGACTTCTCTGAGATTGTTTATTGAAAGTGTTCCTGAGTTTATTAGTAGCTTGAATGCCCCATAATACAAATACCTCAGGCAGAGTGAAGGATGTACAACCACCTTTCTCTTTTGTTTCATCAGGCAGTGGGGTTACATAGGGTTTCCCAGTCTCACTATTCCTTTTCAAGACTTTTATTGATGACGTTTAGTGAACAGTTATTATGTAAATAGGTAATGGTATTGGGGATCTGATACCTGGGGAACGTGTGTTTAGACATAGCGACGATAATTTAATTGGTGTCACCATTTCAAAACACCGACTTTGGTCGCTTGGACAGGTCTCATGAATGTCGTCCCAGCGAATTCTACATCGTGCATCATTTGCCGACACTGGGACCGATTGTAAAAAGAGGAGATATGGTCAGTGTATGACATAGCGTCATAGCATGAAAGAAAGCTGTACAGGACTGGTTTCTTTTGGTCCTTCATAAGTCCCTAATTGGGGTCTCAGAGATGGTGCAACACAGTCTATAGAAACGCTCACAGAAATGGCTCAGAATAAAAGCCAGTGGCGATCTCTCTGTAACTTACCTTTTTCATACAAGTGAACGTAAGTTCTCTAACTGAGAGAATTCTTCCTGGTTGTATTTTCGTTAACTGAACTGTCTCTCTCATTATTATTATTTCACTCGCATACACTAATTTCTGTTCATTGTTGTTTTTCTTTTTTCTTATACACACATTACCTTCTCTATCCCTTCACAACCTTATTGTTATTATGTTTTTGGTGCCCTCTTATATCGATGTTTATGTATTTAAATAATATAGACGATACAAAATGATTCCTTGCATTTCGCGCTTTCAGTAAATTAATAATCATTTTGGCTTATACGTAACCATACGTAATTATTTTTTCATTTCACAGGCCAGATACTTGATCCAGGATCTACCATTTTAGGTGTAAATCAAGTAACATGGGCCTTACATTCAGCTGTTCATTCAGCTCGGGCTGATATCCGATGCATTATACACTTGGATACCCCTTCTACTGTTGCAGTAAGGACTGTATTTTAAAGTTTATTTGTTAGTACATTGAATGACAAACAAATTTTACTGTTCTAACAATCTAGTCTTTGGCTTATTTTGAGAGGTTTTGTTATTCACTGAAGATCATAGGCTAGTGTTCAAATTTATTATCCAGTTTTGATGTTTCTTTTTTAACGTAATTACTTTTAATAAGGACTAAGGGATTTTGTAACCTTTAGCTACTACGGTTTTGATACAATGCCCAAAGATTAGGCCTGACAGTCAGGTCATAATTGATCGGAGAATGAGTGACCTACAAGCTAATTTCCTTCAAGAGCCTATGACATTTTGTTGTGTTTAGTTTATGTTCATATTTTGTACCTAAGCTTGTTATGTATTAGATGAAAAACCATTCACCTGGCCAGTTGTCTTGTCTTTGATTTCTAACCATTCCAAGGGCCTGAGTTCACTACACAGTCCCATGAGTAGCCATCACTTGGTCCTATCATTGCGATCATCTATCGATTAGCATTCCATTAATCGGTTTTAATAATCAATTCGGAAAACTGACTCTATAACAGGCATACACTACATTGTGTTCGTTGGTAAATAATTAGTATTTCAACCACGTTCAATTCAAGGGAAATAACAAAAACTTCAAAAATTGGTATTGTTTTCCAATCCTCTTAAATGTTTATACATAGATATATAAAATAAGCTTTTGTTGTCACTTTATTTATTTATTTATTTGGACACATGAATATTGGTACAGGAGAGCGCCAATATAGACAGCAGACAAGTTGGTTTGTGCGTTTTAACTTTGATTTTGATGTATATTATTTAAAATACTTGATTTATTACTCTCAAGAGATTGAGAAGACCCTCAAAATATTTCTACTCAGTTTATTAGTGAGCATATTGTAAACCTAGATATATTTGTCTATCATCAAAAACAGAAATAAACTATTCAGAAAGAGTTAAGAATCATGTTTCGAAATTAATCCACAACTGTTTTCTCAATGCTAAATGAATTAACTAAACCATATTTTTATTATCCAACCTCATTATATTAAATGTTATGAATCCTTGTACTTTCTCTAGATATCTTGTATGAAATCGGGTTTGTTGCCTCTTTGTAATGAAGCAATGATTTTGGGCGAAGTGGCTTATTATACTCCTAGCGGTGGATTAAGCTGTAGAACCAACGCCGACGCTAACGGAGATTTCGGTGATATTAAAGATTGGGCAGCTGAATGTGCAACAGTCAGTGAAGCTTTAGGTCCAACTGCTCGTATATTATTTCTTCGAAGTCTTGGATTACTTGCCTTAGGTGAAACGATCGAGGAGGCATGGCATTATGCAACTAATGCAATAGTTGCATGTGATACTCAGGCAAGCATTTTTTATAGATTCTATTTGTGTGCAGATGCTCTTCTAGTCAGTATGCTATAATAGACTCATCAAATACACTTACCTATTGTAGTTCAAAAAATCTTTTTGTCTTTATGATAGTGGAATAGCGATTATTATTTTTTATTCTCATTGAGATTCTAAAAACTTGAATCTCCTCGATAAAAACCAATTAATTAAGACCACTTCATACTTCATTTTTATCACGTCCTCTACTTGATTACGGCATAATACGATATACAACTAACATGTAGAACCCCACCGTCGCAAATCAGAAGACGGAAGAAACAAGGGGAGTGATTATTAGATAAGAATCGAAAATGTACAAAAGACATAGGTATTTATAGCTATTGGTATTTGCTATAACATCATCATAATTCAGCCAATTCTCAAGGAGGCAAGTTGTGCTACCGTCCAATCGTAGCATGCCACGTTGATATTCTAGAAGGCTCTATCAGGTTCTGATTAGATGTAATCTCTTCGACTCCTTTAAAGCCTCTGGAGTCTTCGTCATGCTCTTCAAAGCTGTCTCAACAATTTCAACTCTAGGTATTTTTCTGATAAATTTCAAAGGGATTTAAGTTAAAACATTTAAATAAGGTGAATCTATGTGGGCATTTTCACGTTTAAGGTTGACTTTTTAAACTCTTCTTCCTAACAGTAGAGTCACGTAATTGTTGGATACATATTATTCAAATGTTAGTTACTCCGAATAAAGTCTGCAGTGTACCAATATTCAACAAAACGTTTGTTTCAGGCGTTGTGTAACTTCATGGACTAGCTCACAAACATGTACATAGTTACTGAATTGTATGTATTCAGTCAGAAACTCATTTCTCTTCACACAAGAGCTAATATCCTTGGTTTTATCAACGTACAATCTATGTTTCTATCATTTATTTATTTCGGAAAGCACCCATCCCAATCAATGACCTAGAAACATTTTATCTACTCAGGAAACTATTCTGATACAGGCGAGAAAAATATTTTTCATGAATGTATAAATAGCTGTTAATAATTCTGTTGTAGCCCTAAGCAAATCCTATTATTGTTAGTTTCAACGGTCCATGTAGTAGACCTACGTAATATCAGTTTGCCATCATCGACGTAAATTCTTGGAGAGATATGTGTTGGCTTGTTTTGTCATACAATGTTAGCACGATCAGATGTATTCTTTATTTATTTGAATACATAAATATTGGTACAAATGGCACCAAACACATATGCACCACACAATTCACTTGATTTGTGTGTGGGCTGTGATACTGCCTGGGTGCCCAAACCGAAGCAGGTGGTTTTCTTAGGGGCCACGCCCGGAGCCTTCCACCTAAAGGTTTGATCCACTGGCAGTGGAGCAACGTCAGGAGATGCTGCCCCATGATATCCGATGACCAACAATTGGTTCATACGCCATTTGTTCCCTCAGGATCCTAGATCCCATGCGCACCATTGGTTTGGAATCAGAGTTTTACAACTCCCCTAGGTGGACCCTCTGCGTCCACCAACCTGATTAAAGCGCCAGACATTCGTTTTTCGCCCTCTCAATTTCGAAAACAACAGCCCCGCCTGGAGAAGGCAATGAGTAGTACTTCCCTGGCAGGGGCTGTGTACTCGTGGTCATGTGAGAGCATTTCGAGAGTGTGAGCTGGCTCTCCCCACCCTCGGCCGTACCAGGAAATTTGGGGGCTACCCAAACTGATCTAGATTCCAACCTAAGGTCTATTTAATGGAAATTTTTGCACTTAGTCATTGCACTTGGAGAAGTATAAATGAGATTAGCAAGATGAATAGCCAGAAAATAGGAATAATATGGTAGCAATATAAAGACTCATTGTATTAAGTAATTGCGATAAGATATGTGATGAAGTTCAATTTATTATGTAACTGTAAATTCCACCTCCCACATCTTTCACATGAGTTTTGGTGGATAGCCTTTCAGTAAACATAAGAGCTTTGGTGTGACCTTTTTAAATTAAGAAGTCAAGGTTGCTAAATGTACTTTTTAAGGTCACTGGCTTAATTGCTAGTTAACTTTTAACGACATTTGTATTAACTCTAGATAACATTTGCAAATTATAAAACAAATTCTTGTTTATAACATTGTTTTTATCACCTTATGCGATAATTGGTATTACAATTATCCGTTTTTACTCATTATATTCTGGGCACACTACTCGTTTCAAGTGCGAAGTTCTGTTATTTCACGTCTTATTTCCTGTAAATTCATTAATCAGTGAAAAAAGCCTTTCAACACACAGTAAGTTCAGTTTGTACAATATTGAAGCATTCATATTGCATGTTGATCTAAGTGAGATTATAATATCATCAATTTAGTCTGTCATTTATTCCTTATCGCTAAAAACAACTAATGTGTACGTTTTAGCTCTTATTGGCCTCAGTCAGTACCGAAAATCTCATTCTCCCTACAGACAAACTAAAGCAAAAAACTTATGAAACATGGCGCACAGCTGGATTAGGCGGTCTTAGTGGTCCAGAGGCTGCACTAGCTATGCGACTATCTTCGCCTAATAAGTCTGGTACTAGTGAAGCAGGACAACATTCAGTAACAAATGGTTTCATCTCAGATGGTTCAAATGTGGAAAGTAATTCGGCCAGACCATGGCGCTTAGGTGAACTTGAATTCGAAGCTATGATGCGTCATTTAGATAACGCTGGGTGTCGTACAGGCCATCTTTATCGGCAGGTAATGTTAATTTTGTTTCATGTAATATCTGTTAATTCGGAATAAGATACTCTCACTAATTCTGAATCTAATGAAAATTTATCGACTCACATGATTGTCAAACTTTTCCCACTTATTCTTTTTTTATTGTTCTTTTAGCGTAATTTTCCTTTATGGTATTTGAATTTAATAAGTGTAATTCAAGATGATTGGAAGTTTAGTCAAATCAGGACGTGTATGATTGTACTGTCACATGGCTTTTTGATCTGTTGATGGGTAACAAAGTCACAGAGCTTGTAAATGAGTAAAACTGGCGTTCAGAAAATTTCATCTTTAATGCCTCCTTTATCTATAACTATCCGACTTTGGTATCAACAAGTTTTACGTTCATGTTTGCATTACTTGCTATGTGCCTATAATGTAGTCATTGTTTTAACTATCTAATTATCACCCCCCTTCCCGTTAGTATCATCTGCGAATCCCATATTAGGGATATAATACAATGTAGATAGGGTTGTTATCGTATTAGTAATTAGTAGTCAGATATAGCCAACAATAGTATTTTAGAACCTATAAAGTGGTATAAATTTATCCTAACCTAATCCCGAGGAATTTCTTTTGCCTAATATTTCACATCACTAACTTTGTGTCAAGTTTTAATAGTTTGAATCGCTATTCATTGCTACTAATAACTCAGCTGACTAAATTGTTCTATTCATAACATCTTGTTGCATATACTGGGGTGTAGTAACTAGGGCACATTTGTCCCAGACTCTACATTATAACTGACATAGACATTAAAGTTGTCAGATCTACTACTGAATCTAAGTGTTCTTAGACAACTTACTACAGCAGTTAGCAGCATAGGCAAGTCTAGATATTAGAGTAGTTTATATGAGTTTTACTGCAGCACATTTCTAAGTAGCCAAGTCTGACAAGTGTTCTCGCACCAAAAAGAACATATTTATCGGTAAAAATTTATTTATTTATTTATTTATTTGAACACATAAATATTGGTACAAGAGAGCGCCAATATATATGCGCCACACAAAACAATGAGAATTCGAAGAGAAGTAGAAAGAGGAAAAAAACTAAGGAACGCAAAAGAAAAAGAGAACAATGACGAAGAGATTGGAGTAAGGTAGTGTGGTAGTAACGACGGAACGAAAAGGTACAATCAGAAGAAATCTTTCAGGTAAAGGAGACACAACCACTTTTTATGAAGAAAGTAAAAGAAGGTTACAGCAGGATCGCCACTGGCTTCTATTCTGAGCCATATCTGATAACGTCTCTAGCCACTGTGTAGCACCATCTCTCGGACCCCAGCCAGGGAGTCGTGAAGGACCAACACAAGCCAGTCCTTTGCAGCTTTCTTTCATGCCACGACACCATGTCATGCACTGACCACCTCTCCGCTTCTTCCAACAAGTCCCAGAGTCGGCAAATAATGCTCGACGTGGAATTCTCTGGGACGACATTCGGAGAACATGTCCAAGCCACCGAAGTCGGTGTTTCAAGATGGTGACACCAATTGAGTTATCATCTCTGTGCCCGAACACACGATGCCGAACCTCTGCATTACTGACATGGTGTTGCCACTGAATGTCAGCAATCCTTCGGAGACAGCGATGATCGAACACAGAGAGTCGTCTAACGTCCTCAACTCGGAGAGACCAGGTTTCACAAGCATAGAGCAAAACTGCTCTCACCGACGCGTTGTAGATCCGGCCTTTTACAGCCAGACTAACATCACGAAGGCTCCAAAGGTGGCCCAGATTGGCATAAGCCGCTCTGGCTTTCACTATTCGTGCATTGATCTCATCACTCACACCCCCACCAGCACTTATGCAGCTACCCAGATACACGAACTTCTCAACTACTTCTATCTGCTCACCATCCAGGGTGAGTACACGATTAGAATCCTGCCAGTCTTGTAGAAGTACTTTGCACTTCGACGGTGCAAAGCACATACCATACCTACGGACACTGATTGCCAACTGATTAAGTGCGGATTGCATGCCTTGGGCATTATCGCACAGTAAGACAATATCGTCCGCATACTCAAGGTCGAGAAGTCTTTCTCCAGGCAACAGATCCACACCACCATTACTTACATTCATCAGAGCTGTTTCCAGAATGTCATCGATGGCAAAGTTGAAGAGGAATGGTGAGATTGGGCAACCCTGCCTAACCCCACTGCTCGAATGGAACAATGGAGAGAGGTGGTTGTATGCCCTCACTCTGCCTGAGGTGTTTGTTAATAGGGCTTTTAGGATGTTAATAAACTTCTCAGGCACACCCTTCTTCAATAGACAATCCCAGAGAACAGTCCTGTCCAACGAATCGAAGGCAGCCCTGATGTCAAGAAACACTACGATTGTTGGCCTTTGAAAAGTATGGCGGTGTTCTAACATTTGGCGGAGGGTGAAGATATGATCAATACATCCTCGACCAGAACGAAACCCAGCCTGCTCCTCGCAAGTCAATCTTTCTCGGGTTTTGAACAACCTATGAAGTATGACGGAAGCCAATAGCTTGGACGCAATCGGAAGTAGACTTATCCCCCGATAGTTGTTACAGGAACGACGTGAACCCTTTTTAAAGATAGAGACAACTATCGACTCATTCCATGACGTTGGTACACTCTCTAGTTCCCAAACCTTTGTAAACAACGTCGTCAATTCCTTAGTCAAAAAGTCACCACCATCTTTAAAAAGAGCCGGAGGTAAGTCATCTGGGCCAGGTGATTTGTAACGCTTCAAGAGTTGGAGTTCCTTGCAGACTCCCTCCTCATTTGGTGGATCAGTCGTCACCGGCCATGGAGGGCAGGACAGTCTGACCGATGTTGCCGGAGCAGCAGGCCAGTTGAACTCCCCTTCGAAAAATTCTGCCCATCGTCCAAGACGTCGATAGATGTTAGTGATTGGCATCCCATCATCCTCGCAGATTGTTTCACTCACACCAGACTTCTTGCTGCCAGTGGCTCGGATGAGCTGGAAGAGCTTCCGGCAGTTACCAGATGCAGCTGCTGCTTCCAGCTCATTAGCACGCATCGACCACCAGGCTTCTCGGTCCTTACGCAAGCTTTGCCCAATTTCCTCACGTAACATCCTTCGTTTATGGTCAAACTCACGGTCACCCGGAGTAGACCGACGGGCTTCAATGAGTTGTAAGGAACCAGAAGAAACCCAGTGCTTAAAAGCGGGACGTTTCGCAAACCCACAACTGACTGTTCCCGCCATTTTCATGGCGTCATGCAATTGCAACCAATGCTCATCTATACTTTTCGGTGGAGTGGTAGCTAGCCTAGAGGCTAGCTCGGTTCGATACTTACTTGCAACAGAAGTTGCAACCAGCTTGCTAACATCAATCCGTTGATGGCGTTCACTTCGTTGTCCACTGAAAAGTAAGGCAAGATTGGCGCAGACCAAGGCATGGTCAGAGTCCAGATAGGTACTCCAAAAGGAGCGGCAGTCTTGCACACAACCACGCCAGCGGTAGCTGATCGCGATGTGATCAATCTGAGTCCAGGCTTGAGATGCAGAGGGAGGACGCCAGGCGGCACATCGGCGATGACTGTGCCGAAAGTTAGTGCTAGCCAGAAACAGGTTGTGGTCTGTGCAAAGTTGCAGTAGACGGTCCCCGTTATCTGACCTGCGACCAACGAGTCCCCATCGGCCACCTAAACGACTCTCTTCTGTGCCTAGACGCCCGACCTGAGCATTCAAGTCTCCGGCTAGTACTACAATATCTGTCGAACGCACTTTCTGGAGAAGAACAGATAACTGGTGGTAAAACTCATCCTTGATTGCATCCGGGCTGCAATCTGTCGGGGCATAGGCGGAGATGACGAAAAGACATCGTTTCTCACGCCGATTTCTTCTCACTTTGATGGAACTTTCTAATCTAACAGCACATAACCGACTGTTAATGGGGATACAATCGACTAGTGCTGCCTCAGCTCTAGCGCTTAGTGCGACACCAACGCCAGCAAGACCAGACGAAGATGCCACAGGGTCCCCGGATAAGCGCACGTAAAACAAGCTTTTCGAAGCGACAGATGGAGATCGAATTTGTAGTACTTCGCCAGAGTCTTGAGTACGGAGCCCATGTGCACCATTGATTTGGAATCCGGTTAAAGCGCCGGACATTCGCTTTTCGTCCTCTCATTTTCGTAAACAACACCCCCGCCACGAGAAGGCAATGAGTAGGACTTCCCTGGCAGAGGCTGTATACGCGTGGCCGTGTGAGATTATTTCGAGAGGGAGAGCGGACTCTCCCCACTCTCGGCCGTACCAGGGCATTCAGGGGGCCGGTAAAAATGTTACGTACTGGCTAAAACATGGTCCATTTAAATTGCTTTGCATCAAAATAAAACTGGTAAATAATCAAGAAGTAAAAAAATACAAAATTTCGAAGCAAAATGGGAAACGATAGAGTAATAATACTTATCGCAAGATAACAAGTGAGCGCATCGGCAAATTTGCAACAGATATTCAGTCATTTCACTTAATAGCTCCAATCAATAATCTGTTGATTCGCGAACTTTAGTAAATCTGTCATTTTACATTCGCCAAATTAGTTGTCAATGACTTCATGGAATACTGTTTTATCTTTACTCGGTTCAGGTCAAGCTTTTCCAGTTTGCTCTCATCCGAAACGTTATCATTTACTATCAACAATAACCAGTACCAGTCGTGTGACTCTGTACCTATTTGGACCTACCGCAATTTGAAAGTGTTCTTGGATTAATTGCCATACATTCCCATCATACTTCAGATACTTGAAAACGTCGATAATTAAATAAGGAACTACATATAATGACAAATTTAATTCCATTTTGGCAATTAGGTTATTTTGACCATAAATTATGAGACTTAAACCTCCAGTTTATGCTATTTCTATTATAATTATGCGATAACCTCTGATCTATTTAATTAATACCGGCTTATGAACATTTTGCGGACTATTTTTCAACATATTATTTCTAGGAGGCTATGGCGAGCCCACATCGATCACGAAGAAGTAAAGTCGTGAATGGACACGGTGGGGCTGGTCGTCAGGACGATGATATACAAGTTCCACCATCTGCTTCGTCTGTAACTGCTACAATGGCTTATTATTATGATGACGGAGTTCTTTCGGGCGATGAAACGGAAACACCTAGACCATCGTAAGTTTAGTTATCGTCTCTGATACCTCACTTTTCCAATTCATTTGATAACATTCATCGATACAACCTGTAGCCTTATCTCATGTTGGCAATTCACAGATGTTGAGGACAATCGATATCACAGTAAATACACTAATATCTATCTGTATTACCTAATTCTACCGTTTTCTGTAATCATTACTTAGTGTCTTTAGACAACAGTATATCTTCAAATTTCTATCACTTGGTCTTTCATTTCTCTTCTCACAACTCTAGATAAGGTGAAAATTCTTTTAATTTTTTCAGTTGTTGCGTAAATGAATCTCGCTTAATTTTTATGTTGATATTCAGTTAGATTATGACTAGCTCTACTGCTTAACGGATGTGTCTGTGCAACTGTGTTCATTTATGCACTATTATTGAAATAAAACTGCCAAAGCCGAATGATCCGAGTTATTAGTGTTCGATTGCTACTAACTCATCGACATTTGTCAGCAAATAGTTCCTATGTAATAAATAAACTACACAAAGTTATTGACCTTAAACAGCTGGGATTGCGAAAGCTTATCTTTGCCAAAACACCAGAATCAAGTCACATACATACCCATGTCCCAATTTATAACTTACACTTGAGTGGACAGACCCGACCGTGTTGCTACCTTGATATGGTGGTCGGCTTGCCTATCATGATAATCCAATCGAGCTATACTGGCTGGAACAACCGTTCCTCAAGGTCGTACCATGCCAGACAGGTCGGTTGAAGAGCGGTAAGACTGAAAGCAGCAAACCCAAGGAGAACTCGTACTGCTGACTGTACAGAGGTGTAACAGCAGTAAGGTGTTTCCTTCAGACAGTCAGCATGAAAGAGATGCTGCCTTCCCACAAGGAGGGGTGGAGTTAGAATAGGGCGACCCTAAAAATGCACATCTCGCCTTATCCCACGGATATCCATCTCCGGCGGTAAGGTCTCAACAATTACTGAACTAACACAAAAATTACTCATAAAAAGGTTGTGTGTGACCGACCCCAAGTAGTTGTCCCATAGGTGCTGCGGTCACGCTCTCAGGTCACTAAGTTCACCTCTAATCCAATTTCCTTTTCAGGCACCCTCAGGAGAACCCTTCCACAGTGTGGGCAACCGAGAAGTGAAAACCGCCCTCATACCTCTAACAGCACTCAAGACCACTGAGTGGACAGAAAATAGTATTGTAAAATTTTTACGATAGTTTTTTAAGGTTGGTTATATAGAGTATATAATAACTTAGTAACAATATTAAATATTTAAATTTATTTCAGAACTCTTAGGCGCGAGTTTTCGGAGAAGCAATGGTTTAACACACCAAACAAATACACTAAAGAAATAATTGAACCTGCTCCAGGCCATCAACCAGTTCCGCATTGGGTTTGTGAACGTGAAGCAGCTGTTCATAATGCTGTTTGTAATGGTGCTCTACCTCCTCCGGCACCATTTCATCCTTTAACTCATGGAGCAGTACCACTTGGTTCAACTGGTGGGCCGGCAACTGGGACTTCGTCAGTCATGTCACCCTACAATGTATTTGCTCCTCAAGGTTCTAATCCAAAAGAATATCGCGAGCAGCAAAAGAAAGTAAGCTGTATGGACTTTTAAAGTATCTCCATTTTGCACATAATGGTATCTATTCGGGTTTTGGGGTTTTATTTTGTGGTTATTACATACCTTTACGTCCAACTGATGAATCTATTTTTGAAATATGTCCTGAAAATAATTAATCCGGTGGTGATGAACTGTTTATTGGGCGTTGGACATACAATAATAAGCTGATTTTTGTTAATCAGTTCAATTCGAAATTCATTTATTCATTTACTTCGATTACCATGTCCAATATATGTTAAACGTCAACAACTAGACGTAACTCAACTGATGATGTTCAGCTACAGTATGAATAAAGAAACACACATTTTTGTTGATTTTTGCACTACATTAATTACTGGTTTAATTTTTTGCTTTGTTTATGTACTAACAATTGAAATTAATTATGATTTATACTCCGGAATCAGAATAAAAGTAGGACTCATTCAATAAACATAGCTTACAGGTCAAGTGGTAGAATCCTGAGATTAGTAGTTTAAAATGATATGCAATAATTCTCTTCACAATTAATATTTTAATCCAGCTTTATCCATTATTCCAATACAATATTTCTTTATGTATTGGTGGTAATATTAACTCTCGCACTGACTAATGAGTATAACTCACATGTACCAAATGTGTTTGTGCACAAGTTGAAACAGGAAAATGACAAATATTCCTTAAAACAAACATGTTTTTGTCATGAGACTTCGGAATTATGTACACATACAGTACTGAATGTATCAAATTATATTTGGTAGAGAAGCTATGACAAAAGTATTCATAATTAAGAATGTAACAAAAAAGGTTTACACACAAAAAAGTATCCGTCTAAACCACAATAATCTTGTTAACTTTAGTTAATTAGTCGCTAGGTAGGTAGGAGCAAGAGTATAATAAGCAATAATAATATGTGTTTGGTGTATCAATGATTTTGCTTCCTTGTTAGATTGGTTATTTTTAAATATTATTGGTTTTGTGTCTAGCACAGATAATTTTATATTCGATGGGTCATACACTTAGTGTGTGTTGGCTTCAGTTGTTTCAGTTCTAATTGCTTATCACCACTTCTCTACCCTATAATTAAAATTATATGAATTATCCTAAAATATTAATAGTATCCTGAATAGTTCACCTTTGAGCGTCAAATATACACTGGGACAGTAAACCCATATTCTCTATGATCTATGGTAGCGTTTTTCCATTGATAATTGTAGCACTGGGTATGTAATCATAGTAAACATTTACATACTTCTTTTTGATTAAGGTCAAGGCGAAGTATTATCATGATACAAATACTGCTGGACCTCAATCTCGACTGTTGGATGGTCTCACATGGGATGAAGCTCGACGAGTTCGTGACGAAGGTTTAGTCAAAGTATTAGGTCCGAGAGCCGCCGCTTTAGTGGCAGGTGGTGTTACTAGTGAAATGCCTGTAGCTGCAGCTAGTAAGGCAATTATCCAACGTGATATACGAAATGCAGCAGTGATATATGATGTAAGCAATTTGTGTGTGTACTTTTTCTACATTCTGTCAATTTTAACTGGGGTGGAATGTTAAACGGTTATTACCATGTCAAAGATACATCGGTATATATATATATATATATATATATATTACTAGCTTTATGTTACTTTATTGTTTCTATATGTTGATTGGATCGAGTTTAACTATCACTTACGTTTGTGCGCTACTAATTAACCTATTTTGTTTATTTCTGCGCATTGATTTCATTTCTATCAGGTCTGTAAGTTTCATTCTTTATTCATTTATTCTAGAGTAGTGTTCACGTAGATTTGTGCTCTTGACCTAGCGAAGTTGAACTTCTCAGCAACATAAGATAATTCAATTAACATAAACAAAGAAAAAATAGGGGGAATTATTGGCGTTTTTCATTTGTGTAAAGCTTGGTAATGTTTGTAAAAGTCAACTGTCATTTTTCACTTTTATTGACACGAACACTAACACAATAAAGAAAAATTTAACGATAGCACTTATGCAGATCCAGGTTGATACAGTCTGATACAAACCCATAGTCATCTGATTGTTAAAAGTTAATTATTTGTAACCTCTGTTTAATCATTTGTCCACTTCGTTACATAAGTACGTCTCGAAATGTGTGCTCTTGAATCATCAGTATTGTAAGCTTTAAAATGTCCATCATATTCTAACCGAAAATATAACGATACACCCCTGTTGTATTCAGTATTCATAAGTTATGATTGAATGTCATTTCATATCATTAGCAAAAATTTTTCCCATGATTTCTTTCAAATTAGTAGATATTTTTTATTTTAGAAGGCATGCCAGTTAACTAAATTTTACTTCTTGAGTGGTTTATAAAATGTTTTATCTCTTCCTTCTAACTGCATAGTGGTAATTCATCTCTTTTGTACTCACAGGGTCTTTATTCTCATCAAAATCCATTCGAAAAAATTACCGATGAAGAATTAGAGATGTATCGACGTGAAATTGAACTTAAAAATAATCCTGATTTAGCTGCCGAGATGGATCATCATCTTACCGGACAGAATGCATCTTTTGAAGCTCCTAGTTCTACTACACATCTTATAGATTCGTTAGCCGTCGATAGTGGTGCTACGGATCTTGAAAGTGCCAGCGAACTTGGTCCAAGTAATTGTTTTATTGGTTCTCTTTTCAAATTTAGGGGCACGAGTTTTTCTTCCATGAACATGCATAAAAAAGTATAAGTTAAGCGATCAAATCCATTCAGATTTTTGAAAATAAATTTCAGAAAAATCTTTGCGTCAGAATATTTATAGATATTTATTCTTTGCTTCTCTGAATTATTATAACATTTAGTAACATCTGTCTTAAATTTGTTTATTTAACGAACATCAGTCCTTAGCCTTTTCAAAATTGTTTGTTCAGTCAATCAAATTGATTACTTGAAGAAATGTGTAACATGTAAAAATTCCCTGAATTCCTATCAAGATTTATTCTCTTTCATTTAAACCAGTTTTTAACCAATAAAAATAATTAGGAATTTTTATGAAATTAGTGTAGTAAATGGTAGATGTTTCTTTTTGCTACCTTATTCAATCAATTATGATTTTTTTTTCTACACTGCAAGTATCTTGTTTACAAATATGTTGTCAAGGTGTAAGCAAAGCTATATTGCTAAACAATATTCATCCTACTCATGGTGAGTTAGTTTTTACAGCTAAATTCATAGGTCCATCTAAGCTTGACAACAGTGTACGACTGTTTCGTTCTAGTATGGGACTCCTGAGCAGTGTACATCTGCGATCCTGCACACGGGACTTGATCCCAGAATTCAATTGCCAGAAGCCTTAACATATGAATAATTACTGTTCGTCGCTGCATCTCGCTCTTTCTTCCCTAGCGTAAACTATGTAAACGATTTGTTTTATTTCATGTAGTGTTCTTTATATATAGTGACTTTTAAATAAAAAGATAAAGTTGATATTTTGATCCTTCATTTACATTAAACATCAATGGTTTAGGGAATTCTTTTTTGGTTTATTGTTACGCCATCATCGTATAACCCCTTTCCATGAATATAAATTTGCAACATGTCATCCCCCACCCGACAGCCGTTTAGGTTAAACATTTAAATCCATGTAAAATTATTACCTCATTTATTTGATATGTACACGAGAATGATTTTAAGCTTTGTGGTGTGTTATAAGTGCATGCTTGTACCAGTTTCAATTATCACTTATTAATTATTTTATCTTTTTCATTTATAACGATAAATTCTTATATATATATGACTTAAAATTAGCATGAAGATTGACTTATTTAATATTTGGTTCATATTTGATTAAAATTTTTAACGAATCTGTTTGATTAACTAGCACGTGTTTCCGTTATTGATCTATATAATAATAATAAGATTATTGCATACGCTTACTATTGGTAATAATTGTTCAATATGTGTATTACTGATCTGATGGTATACTTTTTGTTTTCTCTTTGTTTCTTCTTAACTCGTTTACCTGCTTGCCTGCATGCCATTCTCCTCTCCCAACCCCTCTAATTCTTCATTGTTCGTTCGTTCAATCGGAAATATAAATTTATTCATTTGCTGGTAATAATATATTCTACCGATTGGTGTGTATTTTATCCTTGGTGAAATGATTTCAGCTATTCATTCATTATCTGAATTATCTCCGTCTGTACATAATGCAAGAGTTGGAGAGATTCGTCATTCGGAGACGTACCCAATCGACAGTCCAGTTACTGGTCGGTTAAAAAATTCATACAATAATTTGTTTTTTTTTAATTTAGTGCTCTGCCACTTTCGTATATGTTACTAATACCATTGCTATTGTTATTATTAATATTATTGGTTATTGAAATTCCTTTACTTAATTTTGACGCTGGATATCACCTATCTGCATCTCTGTTACAGGTCGCTTAGCACCACCACCTACGTCAGGGACACTGACATCGGAACCGAGTGGAACTGAAGATATGAGTGAAAGTGATGTAAGCTAATTATTTTTACCCCTACCTACCACTGTTTCGTTTGGGTGGTTAGATTTTGTACAGTTGAATTATTTGAATTTTTGTGCCAATAATTTTCCGTTTTATTATTGTTACTATTTTAGACTTAAAATGTTAATATTTGTCATTCCACATATAATAATGATAAAACGTTCTACTACAAATCGTTGAAAATAGAATCGAGCCACTTTTCGTGACTTGAAGTTTTCGACTAGATGACATAAAGTTTGAAAATGACGGAATAGCTGTCATTTTTATTGCAATACTAAACAGATCTGTAAGCAATCTGAATGAGCTCAAAACCGTGTGTTGAAAGTAGATTAATTGTCTAATCACTATTCCAATGAATGAAATACGAGTAAATTCAACACTTATCTGAAGAATTCCCCATCGTTTAAGTCGTTTGATTTGTAGAAATGAATCCCCAGTTTTATATTATTATCTCGATATTAGTTTTTAACGAGGCTGTTAACCCTAAACATCCAGTAAATAATAATGTACTCTGCATTTGACTAACAAACAGAATTAAGGTGTAAAATTAAATACGGTGTGACACTGTTGTTAATTTATGGCTTATGCCGTACAACAACATGGTGTTCGAATGCAGTCACGTTAGTTTTCTTTCAAATAATTTTGAAGAATTATAAATTTCTAGTTTTGGAATGTATAGTTAGTACATGTTTAAAATTTTCTGATCATTGTATCTATCATAAAAAGAGGCAACGAATGTCTTAAGAAACTAAATACCCATCATATTAAGCAACTGAAAGTTATCTCAGTAATATTCACAGACCCCCATATTGATAATTATCATGTCCCCATTAGTAACTAATTTCAACAAGGTAATTCCAGAATTCTAATGAGAAGCTGTGACGACGAGTTCGAACGTGTCGGGTGTGAGGCAATTATGCACCAAAGACAATAAAAGTTAGTTGGGGTATATCACGAATTGGTTGACGTTAAATATGTATACCATTGGATGCCAGTCTAGTTGGTTTATAGGTTAGGCGTTCGCCGCGAGCCGTGGTCTTGTGTCCGACCCTGGATGGGGTCATGAATATGAACTAACGAGGAGTCTCATACTAAGACGAAACATCTGTGTAGTTTTTCATGGTTTCCAATGATTGTATAACTTAGATCGGTTCGCAAGTTCTGTAATCTCCAGAAACTGTTAATTTCCTAATCGTGTTCGTTCCTCCCGTTTAACGCTGTAACTTTTTAACTGATCTATTATGATTTTTTAACAGTATGTTATCTTTTATTTTTACAGGGTAAACACAAGAAGAAAAAACGACGCTTCAAACTTCCCTCATTCTCTTTAAAACCTAAAGACAAATCAAAGAGTAAATGACAAGCTATCTCGTTTGAGTATGAATAACTACCAGCTGATTTGCATTACGGTTCACAATTTCGCATCACATCGTCGTTAACCCTAGAAGATATAGATAAATATAATTAGTAATTCCGCTTACATTCTGCAAACACATTTGAGAAATCATTCCTCTATTGTTAAATGTTTCTAAAAACTTAACAGAACATCTTTAAAGTGTGATGCGATGTGTGGCTGTGCCTTAAATTTCCACATGATTACTTGATGCAAATTCTTTAACCCTAATGGGATGATGACTAGGGGACTATTTTGATTTTAAAAGATGTGTGTAATAACTATTGTTGACTTGTAATTACAAGCACATAATAATTGGGTATATTTAAATTATTATGATTATCTTTTTCCGATTGTGTTTCTCCTTTTTTTCCTTCACATCTTTCCTTCATCATATGGACGTTTCACAAGGTAGTAGAATAAACGATGAAAAGCCGTCTTGTTTTATTGAATCTTTTTTTGAATTTGCCTGTTCGTTGATATTGTTATTATTTCAGCTAATTAATATGCTTCGCTTTCCCTTGAAAAAATGACAATCTTTTGTTTAGGATATTTGATTTTGGAAGTAATGTATCACTAGATCACTTCCCCTTCCACCTACTGTTCTGATTTAATCCCACTCCCGGCTTACTATAATGCTAACAATTTTTAAAATCATATGTAAAGTATTATTCTCTTAATTTTCGACGATATTTAATGTTGTCACCATCCACATTCTATTTCTCATATTTTCTTAATTCCTGCACTGCACTACTCCGTCCATATTTTCATATACATATATCTGTCAATGAGCCGGTAATTACAGTTACCTGTTTTTTCAGTTAATATGAATCAAACAAAAATCTTAGATTTTTTTGTAGCATTTGGGGACTCCATTTTTCATTTCTCTAAAAATCGACTTATATGCTTCTTACTGTCCACTAATGTCTGTTGCCTTACGTTATTCAATATTTTTTTCGCATCATTTTGTTTTACGTGTATAGTTGTTAACATTGCCAAGTTCACGTGTTTTCCCTCTTGCTACTTAGTTCGATACATATAATTTTATGCTTTTTAAGTATATGCTCCATTTAATAAATCATATTACATAAATAAGCTTTTGAATAAACATCCCTTTCTTATCTGTGCTTATGCTTAACCTGAAATCCTGATTTTCACTTCTTTATTTTTCGTTTTAATTTTACGCCAAATTATTTCCTCTGAATTGTTCTTTTTGCGGTCCTTTAAACCTGAGACCCTGCAATTGTCCCACTAATATACATATATTTGATGAGTAATAAAGTCTTCTGTTTTTTACCATCTTCCTAAATATTGTTCAGTAGTAGGCGTTGTTCACTTTCATTACTTATATTGTTTTTCTTTTCTCCCACAGCTTACTTGTCAGTCACTGGATAACTACAAGTTGTAGTAAATAATACTTCGTTAGTGTAAAATAATGTTTAGTTATATTCATTCCTATTTGCTGTAGAATTCTCCACGAAACCCTCGTTTCACTATTGTTTTTCAAACACGAAGCTCATAAATGAGTATCAACCTTTACGCCTACTAATAGTTTTTGGCGGTTCCTGCTTTTTTAGCTCCACTCGTATTTTGCACACTTGTTGATAAGTATGAAAGTGGAGAGGAACTTGGTTAATTACAAGGTTCTACACTTATTCTGTCATGCAGCTATTACTTATCGTTCATGTTGGGTTATTTTGTTGAGTACTCAGAGAGTTGTCGTAACAACTACTAACATAGAAAATCTGGCTTCTGGTTTTAGTACACAGACTTCTTGAAATCTGTTATTCACAATCTAGGTTGAGTTTAAAATCTCCTTGGAGAGATTTATTGTTAAGTAAACGGAATATACCCATTTTAAAAAAATGACAAAAATTGGTTCAGCGAAGAGCTGTCTTTTCGTCGATATCATTTTCAATGCTGCACGATCGCAAATATATACTTAATTTCCTAAATGATATTAATTACAGCAATAGTGGTAACAGAATCCTGCTAAACATGGTAACAATGAGGTAGAATAAACAAAGGTATAAAAACGTTATTTTTATTAAGGAAGCTAATTATAATTTTGTTGTTGAGGGGTTGAATATTGATCATGAAGATAGATACGAAAATTATAATTAGTAAGGAAAGGTTCAGCGTGATAAGATGAAATATTGTTACCATGTTTAGCAGGATTTTATTATAACTTATTGTGATTATTGTCATCCGTAAGTACCTGAGTTTATCCGCTGAGAGTGCATAATACTTTCTATTCTTAGTTGTTGTAATTAAACTCAAAGCCTGTGTACATGTTTTTAGAAACTCGACCATCTATATTTTACTTAAAAGACTCGTCAGTGCGACGGTAGATATGTGCGTTTTCGCCTTTTCACTGAGATTATTTATTTGTTTATTTTCTGTATGATCAAGCTGGTATTTATTAAAAACGATAAGCAGTACAGTTTAAATTTGTTTGTTTATGAATAATAAAGATTATTATTCGTATGATGTTTTTTCTTAAATCTAAAGTATTTAGTGATACGATTACACAAGCTTATGTGAGTACTATTGGGTTATATAACGCGTTCTATGTTCTGACGTTGGCTCATCATGATTTCCAACATTTATCCATGTAACTCATTCGATAGATGAAGTCGTATGATTTAGCTAGAAATTAATCTCATTTTCTGTTTCTTGTTTTTTCCTCACATGGAGATCTGAATATATTTTATGATTGTTTACTACATATCAATTATTGTATTTTCAATGGTTTATTCGGTGTTCTATGTGTTTGAATTTCTCATTTTTTTTAAAGTCATTAATTTCAACCTACTGATCTTATCAAGGTTTTTTGTACACTCGATTACTGATAAATTTAAAACTTTTCTCAGTAGCTACATTATTAAGAGAGGAAGTTAATGTTTTACAACTGGCGTATTCACTTAGACACCTAAAATTGAGGTCAGTGGATTTAATTGATTAAAACATTGTCATAATGATGCGCTACAAAATGCTATTATGCTTTATGTATTTGTACACTCTAAACATATACATGTTTGTTAGGGTACAAGTTGTAGCGTTTATTATTTTTGAATTATTATCAAGGAAATAAAATTCCATTAAAATAGGTTTTGTAGCGATCTCGAGTTATATAAGGAAAAGGGCCACACTTTGATACATTTGTAACTAAATTTTCTCACAAAGTTGAATAATCTGGTTAAACGTTACTGAAACCAAAAAACAAGCCGATGTAAGTTTTGCGTAAATACCTACACTAAGAAGTGATGTATTTCTGAAATAATTCTCAACAATAAACTTAGCAAAGAATGACTTCTAATAATACGCCGAAATTCCATAAATTACAATACAGGCAATTATGGTCGATCATATTACTGCTCAATTCTCAACCAGGTGTTGTATTTCTGGATGAAAAGTGCTGAAGACTTGTCTATATTTTAAATACTTCCGAGCTGTTGTTAAGATTTCACATCATCAGCGAATGCTGCAAAATCTGTTGGTTATTCATATCAATGTTTTATGCGCCAACCTTAGAATATGCATCGTAAGTGAATATACTTTTCAATGAAACTTCTGTGTGGGAAATATTTCTTGAACCATTTATATCAGTAGGTGATCAGTAATCGTTTCTCCGAGTTACTCTTTCATGTATGTAAATCAGTATCATAGATTCGACATCACACGTTTAAACTATCGTTAGTCGTTATTCATGTGTAACTTTTACATGACCTTATTAACTTACTGAGATTATTAGTGACGTGCATTCAGCAAATTGGTCATAGTAGGCACAATATTTCCACACAAGCGTATACACAAGGCTACATGGATCTCATCGGACCACACTACAGAGAACCAAATAGATCATATTTGCATCAACCAAAAATTCCGAAGGACAATGGAAGATGTGAGAACCAGGAGAGGTGCTGACGTAGCTTCAGATCACCACCTAGTTGTAGCCAATTTAAAACTGAAGCTAAAAAAGAATTGGACAAGTGGACAAACAGCAATACAAAGGTTCAATACAGCCTTCCTTCGAGATACTGACAAACTCAATGAATTCAAGATAGCTCTCAACAACAGGTTCCAAGCCTTACAAGATCTACTGAAAGAAGAAGAAACTACTATGGAGGACAACTGGAAAGGCATCAAAGAAGCATTAACTTCAACGTGTCAAGAGGTTCTCGGTCTAAAGAAATACCATCATAAGGAATGGATCTCTACAGAAACACTGGACAAGATCAAAGAAAGGAAGAACAAGAAGGCAGTAATAAACAACAGCCGAACACGAGCAGAGAAAGTCCAAGCACAAGCTGAATACATAGAAGCAAACAAACAAGTGAAGAGGAGCATTAGAGCCGACCAGAAGAAATACGTTGAAGAACTAGCAACGACGGCAGAAAAAGCTGCTAGAGAAGGAAATATGAAACAGCTTCACGATACAACGAAGAAACTAGCAGGGAAATACAGTAAACCAGAGAGGCCGGTCAAAGACAAAGAAGGCAAGCCAATCACCGAAATTCAACAACAGCGTAACAGATGGGTAGAATACTTCGAGGAACTCCTGAATAGGCCAGCTCCAATGAATCCACCGGACATCGAAGCAGCACACATAGATCTTCCTATAGATGTCAATCCACCAACTACGGAAGAAATTAGAATGGCCGTCAGACAAATCAAGAACGGGAAAGCAACAGGACCCGACAACATACCAGCTGAAGCACTGAAATCAGACATCGAAGCAACCACAAGCATGCTTTATCTTCTATTCAAAAAGATTTGGGAGGAGGAACAAGTGCCGATGGACTGGAAAGAAGGACACCTCGTCAAGATTCCAAAGAAAGGAGATCTGAGCAAATGTGAAAACTACAGAGGCATAACACTACTGTCAATACCAGGGAAAGTCTTCAACAGATTGTTGCTGAACCGGATGAAGAATGCAGTAGACGCCCAACTTCGAGATCAACAAG